TAATATAGGCTGTTGGTCTTGTATATATGCTCTTTATTATGTTGAGGAATTTTCCTTCAATTCCTATTTTGTTGAGTGTTTTTATCAGGAATGGGTGTTGGATTTTGTCAAATGCCCTTTCTGCATCAATCGATATGATCATGTGTTTCTTTTCTTTTCTCTTATTTATATGGTGGATAACATTGATCGTTTTCCTAATGTTGACCCATCCTTGCATCCCTGTTATGAATCCCACTTGATCATGATGTATTATCTTTTTGATGTGTTGCTGAATTCTGTTGGCTAGCATTTTGTTGAGAATTTTGTATCTATGTTCATGAGGGATATTGGTCTATAGTTTTCTTTCTTAGTAACGTCTTTCCTTGGCTGTCTTTTGAATCATGGTTTTCCTTGCAATATATTATAAAACAGACAATACAGGGGGAGAGAAAGGAATAACCAGAAATTTCAACATGAAAAACTTGTAAGCCCGTCTTCTGCCTATAACTGATTCAATACCTAAAATGGGGCTACAATGCGTCCAGTGAAGGAGGTTTCCTGAGGACCCTCTGCATTACATTGGAGTATAGGTGGAAGCCCAAACCACATCCAGACCTTCAGTGACAGGAAATTTTCCACTTGAAAGGACAAGCAGACCAGCTGAGAGTAGCTAGAAAACCAGAAGATACTTCTTGAAAGAAGGACCTACAGGAAAAATACAAAACAATAAGGGCAGTCTGATTGTTACCACAAGAACATACAGGTGGCCTGCCCAGAAGACATCAAGGCAAGTGGTAGGATCCTCTCAGTGAAAATTCTCATCCAAGACTAAGACGCAAGGGAAATATATGCTTTGATTGGCAACCACGCATGTCACCCAGAAGGGGAAGTGACTGAAGAACATCAATGAAGTGGCGAGCTAAGCCCTACATAGTTTAGCAAACTACTGTGAACCCGGGTGGAGACCTGGTCAGCCAGCAGCAAGGCAAGACCTGACGACTCATGGGCTCAGAGTTAATGACACAGCCACAGAGGACTAGAATGGAGAGCGGGGTGGCCAGCCGATAAAAAGAGGGTGGACAGACGCAAGAAGACCCACACTTGCAGATGATGCCCACTTGACCTGGCTTCAATGACTGGATAAGCAGAGCTCAACCCGAAGAAGAAAAGAAGAGGAAAAAAGCGTCATCTGATACAATTCGATAAACATAACCTACACCTATAAATGCAATAGCTCAGAAGAGGAAACTAATCCCTGCTGCAAGAACTATTCCCACCCCCTCCACACATAGGGTAGACAGGTATGGGCAACTTGGACACTGGCTACCCAAAATGGGGGGAAGGGATACAAAGGTAAGAAGTGACTGGCTTACAAGCTTTCAAGAGGGAACCTAGATCCAAAAGGCATGGAGGAAGGTAGAGTCTCCAGTGAATAGTATCCAGCCTGTCCAGGAAGGGCTGATTAAACGAAATACAGATGGATCTCTTATGATGCAATAGTTAATAACTGTTACCAGGACTGATTGTGAGGGCTAGAAATCTAAAGGTGGACATTTTGTAGCAAGGAGGGGAGTGATTGACTTTTCAGTCTAGGAGCGGAGGATCCTAGGACCATCAGTGGAGAAAAGTGGAGAGTGGGATCCTACCCAGAGAAGCAGTGAGGCCTGAGATGGAGGTAGAGAAGACGATGGCAAGAGACGGTGTGGTTGGGGATTTGGGATCCGGAGAGGGAAAGGGGCTGAGGACTGTGGTGGGGGCGTGCTGGCTTACAGGGTACACCCTTTGGTTGGGTGAGGATGCATGGACGGGATGGTATCTATGCCAATGAAACGATGTATGATAGAATGAATGTGAAACTAATGTTCTCCCATGTAGATTATCACACAATTCACAACAAAACATTTATTTAAAAAAATAAATAAATAAAATAATGAAATGCCACAAGTATTTTCTTAGATCATATCACCATAAAACTAGAAATCAAAAATACAAAGTCCAACGGAAAAAAATCAAATACATGTAACACCCTGCTTTAAAACTACTGGGTAATTTTACTGTTATTGTTAAGCAGCTTCAAGTCAGTTCTAACCCATAGTGGCCCTATATAGGGCTTCTGAGAAGCAGCTAGTGAGTTTGAATCAATGACATTGCAGTTCAAACCAACCTTGTGGTCAAGCGCTTATCCTACAGTGCCATACAAGGACTCCACTGGGTAATGTTGTTGTTACTGTTAAGTGCTGTTTAGTCAGTTTCGACTCATAGCAACCCTGTATAGGGTTTCCAAGGAGCGGCTGGTGAGCTTGAATTGCCAACCATGCTGTTCAAACCAACCTTGCAGTCCAGCACATCAACCCACAGCACAAACCAGCACAGAAGGCATGAAAAAAAATTCCTTGAATTAAAGAAGAATGAAAACAGAATATATCAAAATGTTTGGGCCAAAGCAAAAGCAGTGCTCAGAAGGCAACTTATTGCATTAATCTCACACATTAAAATCAACACCTTAACCTAAATCTGCAACAATTAGAAAAACAAAAGCAAAATAAGCCTACAGTAGAAAATAAGCCAATGTGGAAAATGGTATGGTGTTTCCACCAAAAGTTGGAAACAGAATAACCATTTAACCCAGAAATTCCTCTAACGAGTACATATGCTCGAGAAATAAGAGCCGCAACATGAATAAATATATGCACACGCTTGTTCACCACAGTTCTAGTCACAACAGCAACATGATAGTAACAACCTAAATGGCCATCAGTGGAAGACTAGATTAAAAAATTATCATACATACACACACTGAAATATTATACAACATTCAAGAATAATGGTGATTCTGTGAAATACATCATTACCTGAAGAACCTTATGATGAGTGAAATGCTGAATGAGATCACTATTGTAAAAGGTCAGGAGAAGGTTTTTACACTAAAAGAAGCATTCTTTGATGGTTACTAGCAGTTAGGAGGGGAAGGGTAGGTAAACATTTGCTAGAATAGAGAGGGAAAAAAAAAAATCTGAACACACTTTAGATGCAAAACCTGTCCTAAACCAATGTCACGTTCTTTGTAGTTTCTATTTATCCCACTCAGCAAATTGGCCTGGCCTTCAAGACCATGAATCCCTTGGCCCTTGACTCTTCTTCTGAGTTTATTTTCCAATTCAGTTTTCTACAGATTCTATAACCACCACCCCATGAAACCACTTGCTATTCCTCATATATGGTTCATGAGCCATATATCTTGGTGCTCTGGAAAACTGTTAAGCCTTTCTGAAATGTCCTTCTCTTTCCACTTTTAAGTCAGGCTTAGAGCAAGCCACATCCTCTTTTATACAAAGCTGGAAAGCCACCTTCATCAGTCATAATGAACTAGTCACCCTTGCTTACACCTAAACACATTTTCATACTGTTGGGGTACACATAATCTGAAGGTTAGCTATGTGTCTCCTTTCTGCACTTGGCAAAGCCTGTTAGAGAGGAGAGACCAAATATTTCATTCCCATTCCCCTGCTCCAGTTTCTTAATAAAGTGTTTTATACTGAATAGCACCTAAAGGTGACCAATCAGTACCCTTATTATGTTAAACTGAGATGACCATAATCATCTCAGGATTGGTATATACCAAGATGTATAGCTAGAAAACATCCATCAATTAGCAGAAACAGTTATTATAGTGCTGCAGCTGTGGTTAGAGTACAAGGAGGTAAAGGGAAGGGTAAAGAAACAGAAAGTTGGCACAGTAACTACTGTAAAGAAGAAAGTGAGGTGGCAAATTACAGTACCAGAAGAATCTTCAAAGCTTGTCAATGGCATAAGCTTCTCATTTTCTAATAAGATAATATGGCTTAATTCACTCTTCGGAGTCTCCTCTTCAAAATGTGTCCCAGCATCAGGTACAACAATCTGTAAGAAATGAAATGGCAAGTAAAAGGAGCACCGTCACTGCTGTGAAGAGTATGAAACAGAATTACAAAAGTTGAGTTACCTTCTTCATGGACTAATGTGCTTAGTTTATAATTAATCATTTAGGTTATGAACGGTTTTTCTTCTTTGTTTTGTATTTTTACTATTTTACTACTTGTTTCATATGTACCAATAAAATCTTCCCTGTGGTAAACTTTCACCCTTCCCTGGACCAGTCAATAAGAAATCCTTAAAAACCTCTCTTTAATTTTTTACACATGCTCAGAGAACCTGAGACTATAATCAGAATACAAATAACAACACAGCTGAATTTGAGCAATACAAGGCTTTAGCTAGGAAGTGAAGATAATAACCAAGTTAGTCTCTGCAACCTTTAACCTAAGTAACTTTCTGTTCCATTCATTCCTACACACACTGGAACAATCTATTTATCAGCTACTCTACCAGAGACCATGTGAGTTTGGGAGTGCACAGCATTTACCAGCGGCACTAAAGGCCATGAATAGACATGGCACATTTTGTTCTTAGTGTCAATTATTTTTCACAATAAATATATTGTTGATGTTAAGTGCCATCGAGTTGTTTCTCATCCATTAGCACCCCTGTATAGGGTTTCCAAGGAGTGACTGGTGAGCTTGAACTGTTGATCTTTCCATTCAAACCTACTTTGCAGTCTGGTGCATTAATCCAACAGTGCCACACCCCAGGACTATTCTCTATCCTCTCTCTCTCTTTCTTTCTATCTATATATATATTTGCGTTGAGATATATACACTTATCAAAGTAAATCATGCCACTTAGGAATTAGATTGCACAGTGCATACTATTTCTAAGATAAAAGCACAGGATTTTGATGCAATAGTACACAACTAATTAAGGCAACAGGTGCTAATAGAATCTATTTAAATCATAGGCTCACTGAGAATATTGCAAATGTTAATAATTACAGAATATATGCTTAGTATTTAAAAATATAATAATCTGATACATCTATATAGAAAAGAACAATATGTTAAAAAAAAAAAAAATCTTTGTATATCTGGTCATGTCGACTATTAACAATTCTATCCACTCTGCTGTTTTTGAACCCTTACATACAGGCGAAGGAGCTCTGGTAGCATAGTGGTTACGAATCGGGCTGTGAACTGCAAGGTCAGCGATTCAAAACTATCAGCTACTCTGCGGGAGAAAGATGAAGCTTTCTGCTCCCAAAAATATTTATAGTCTTGGAAACCCTGTTCAGGGTCGCTATGGGTCGGAACCGATTTGACGGCACTCAACAACAACAACATATAGGCCAAGACAACTAAAGACACCCAAAAAAAGTCTATTCTGGTAAAGTAGTGTGGCTTTTACAATTCAGATGAGAACTACAAAAACATGTTTCCTTCACTGACTTAGCAGCCAGGATTATGGTTAGGTACTACAGAGCTAGTTATGATCCAAGGCAACCTTATAAATAACAAATTAAAATGGTGCACAGTCCTGCAACATCTTCATGATCAAGAGTATGTTTCCATGCACTGTCATCTTCATGAGCAAAGATAAGTTTGCATACATTGCTGGGGTGATTATGTCAATTCAGCTCACTTAGATTTTCTTTGGCCATCTATTATACCAAACATGAATCCTTTTCTAGGGGTTAGTCTTCTCTGATGACAGGTACAAAATAAGCGAGAATTCTCACCATCCAGCTGTCAGAGCTTTTGCTGTTAAGTGCCAGAGTCATATCTAACTCATGGCAACCCTATACACAATGGGACAAAACACTGCCCGGTCCTACATCAATCTCACAACTATTGTTATGTTTGAGCCTCTATTTCATTGGAGGACTTCTAATATATTTATCCCCCACTCAACTCACACCATTTCAACCCCTTTATACCAAGCACCTCATAGTTCTACACTTGTTTTGCTGCTTTCCAGTTTTACAGATCCTCTTTTATTATCAAAGTTAGGAACTGAATTGCTTAACCATCACAACATAATAAATAATCTAGCATAAGGAAAAATGTTTGTGTTATTTAAAAAAAAATTCTGCAGATAAGTATAATTTATAGTAGAATAAGAATTAAAATGAATGTTTAAGAAATCATGATTCCTATCCTAATTTCAATTTATTACCCCTGAAAATTCATAAAAAGTACATTCAGTTGAAGGTAATTATTAGTTGCATATAGGGAATGAAAAGCTGATAAACATTTTCTGTACAGGGCCAGTTAGTAATTTGTCAACTCTATTACAGTACAAAAGCAGTCATAAATAAAACATAAACAAGTAGGTTTGGCTATGTTTCAATAAAACTTTGCAAAAACAAGAAGGGGACTGGAATTGACCCATGATCTGTACTTTACTAACCCCTGTCATGGGAAGTAACTTATTTCAGGGCCTTTAAAATTTCATCATGGTAAACTATGTATAACAAAAATGTTTGTCCTTTGAACCATTTTTAAGTACACAATTCACTGATGTTAATTACATTCACCTTGCCACTATCCATTTCTAAAAGGTTTTTATCACGCCAATCAGAAACTCAGTACATCTGTCCCTGTTAAATACTAGTAAACATTCTTTTATTATACTGCATTATACTTTTGGCAAAAAATATATGCAGCAAAACATGCTCACCTTCAATAATTTCTACACATAATTAATATTCAGTGACACTGGCTACATCCTTCATATTGTATCAACATTCTCTCATTATTTCCATTCTAGATATTTCACTCCCATTAACTTGTAAGTGATAGGATAATATCCATGCTCCTACAGGGAAACCCAGTTAGTACCACTATTATTCAAATTTATGCACCAATCACTAAAGCCACTGAGAATGAAATAGAAGAATTCTACCAACTTCTTCAATCTGAAATCTATCAAACATGCAGTCAAGATTATTGGTGATTGGAATGCAAAGGTTGGGAGCAAAGAGGAAGGACCAGTAGTTAAAAATATGGCCTTGGTGATAGAAATGATGCTGGAGAATGAATGACAGATTTCTGCAAAACCAATGATTTGTTTATTTCAAATACCTTCTTTAGACAGCATAACAGACGACTATACACATGGACCTTGCCAGATGGAACAC